AATAATAATAATAATAATAATAATAATAATAATAATAACAATAATCATAACCATAAAAAAATTATTCAGATTAATAAAAAACTTCTTAATAAAAATAAAACTAATTTTTCCAATTATATTTTGATTTGATTTGCTTAAAAGATCATGTTACTATTGAATAGGAAGATTTGATTCCATCATCTATAAACATATCAGAAACTTTTATCATGTCTTAAGAATTCAATCCTATATTATTGGTTCATACTATAATATTGACTCTTCTGCTTATTTTCGTTTCTATAAATGATAATCAAAATATAAAAATAAAAAAAGAACCAATTCAAAAAACAAACATATCACAATTATCTGAATTGAATGAATATATGTCCATGATGATTAATAGATTAGAATAATAATATAATTTAATAGCATAAAGTTAAGAACAATTAGCATATTAATTAGAACTTTTAGAATAATGAAGGAGTTTAATAACCCTAAAATTGAATATAAAATTAAGTTCATTTATATATTTTAATTCCACCAAAATAAGAAGGTACTAGAGAGTACAAGTTACTCTAAGGCACAAATGTTGGGAAATTACTAAAATCATTCTTCAAGGATTCTAGGGACTTCCTAAAGAAATCTATTTCACTCATAGAAGAGGATTGGTTTAATCTGATTGTTTGGGTGAAAGAGGATTTTGCATAATATAATAAATGCAATAGATGAGATCGAATTCTATTGTTCCTAATTTGTACCTAATTATTTTTTTCTTAAAAAATTAATTAATTAGTTATTCATGATTGATTAATAATAATAAATAATTAAAAAACACCAATATATTATATGCAATTTCAACCTGTTGATTTTGAGATATTTCTATACAAAAATTTAGAATCGGTGGATTAAGAATTTTAATTATCTTGATTTTAAGTAATTTTTTATCCATTTTTATGATATTTTAAAAAAACAGGAATTTGATTTATAGGAGGTAATTCATTATTGAAATAATCTACAAGAATTTCATCATCACTATGTTGTTGTTTTGTATTCGAAGTTTAAGTATGAAAACTAGATCTAAAATGAGATAGATTCAAATTTATGTTTCTAGTACTAATTCTGAAGTTTTCTCTAAAAAAAGGATGTTACAATGCTAATACTGCTTTGATTCTTAATCTTGGGTCTTCTTGCAACATTTCCGACAGTAGATTTTAAGCAGTTAATGGGATATGGATAAGTTATAAGTTATAAATATTTAATTAACATCTTCTATTCGCTGATAATATTTCATTTTAAGTTTCTCCTTAAAACAAATCTTTTCTCAATAATCTTATAAAATTAAAATTGAATTTACAATTTATAGAATACACATCCAACTGAAAAAATATCACTTTCTAATCCATATTTTCCATTCTTTAAATTAATAATTTCTGGAGCCACAAATCCTGGAGTTCCACATTTTTTAAGTTCTTTATTGGGTTCAAGCTTTACAGAAAGACCAAAATCGACAATCTTCAAATCTATTTTTTTTTCTTAAATATTTAATATAATATTCTCTGGTTTTATATCGCGATGCATTATATTTAGAGAATGTAAATATGCAATACCCTAGAGCAATTCCCAAAGTATACTCTAAATGATTCTTACATTTAATTAATGTCTTAATTCTTTTAAGTATGAATTTAAACTTTGCCCTTGGCAATACTCCAAAACTATATAGTAGGTTCCATCCCCAACATAGAACTCTTCGAATCGAGGAAGATTTGGATGATTTAACTGTTTAAGGATATTTAATTCATCGAATAGTCCATTCTAATTTATAAACACTTCAGCTGTACCATTTTTTCAACCGAGTTCTAAATTGTCTCTTTAGTAATACATTTTGTGACAAAATTATTATTTTTATCACTCTTTCTAACAACTTAATAAACCTGACTGCTGCTTCCGCTTGCCAAATGTTCTGTGGCTTCATAAAAGTCTTATACTTTAGTGAAAGAAACAAATTTGGAAAGAATCTTCTTTAAAATTAGTAAGTCACTTTGTTTAGCATGAAACCATTTAAATTTTTTTGGTTATGTATAAAAGCCAAAAGCATTTTCTTTAGATGTTAATTACCAACTTATCTCAGAGGACCAATTTAATGGAAAGATGTATTTAGGAGTATCAGGTCTCTTGGGCTATAGAGAGAATTAGATGGAGATTTACATTTGTCAATGTTAGTGTATTATCAGTTAATCTGATCTCATAAATTTGATCAGCAATCAGATGTTTACGATAACAGATGATGAGTTCAAGCATTTGCATAATAAATAAATTAAAATTTCAGAATCTATTATATATATATGAGATACAATTAGACTTCTGTAACTAATTTAAGAAACTAAAAAGAATAAATTTTGTATTTTTGTTATACTCCAAGAAAAAAATTATTTTAATGTTATGTAATAATTATAAGAGTCTAGTTTTTCACATTTTATCTAGTTTAATTATAGTTATTTCACTGTACAATTACAAAGAACATTTTGTAAATACTAAAAACTTAAGGATTACAAAAATAGATTTCTAATTTCTACAAAGAAATTTAGATTTTTTCATAATTAATTTATATCAAAATAATAAGAGGATATTAATATAAAGAATCTTCAATAAACATATTTGATATTGAGTACAATGACATCAAATATCCTTTCATCAATGTCAGTTATGAAGATACGTACTAATTCTTCACTACCAGGTAAAACTCTGATTTTAAATTGAACAATTTCATTAGGTCCTGTAGAGATACTATGATCAATAATCTAATCAAGAATATTGATAAATGATTACTTTAACGTATTCACTAGAAGATACAATATTATATTATGTAGTGTAATTAACTTAATTTTTATAGTTGACTTGATGACGAGATTCTCTTCCATCTATGCATCTAAAAGATTAATAAATACATACCTCAAATCATAAGTCGCACTTGGAGGTTAAGGTTCAGCATGAACATTCACTAACCAAGAATAAATTAGTTCTTAAGAGTGAATATCAACTCCATTCAATTTAATTAGATGTTTTCCATCCTATAAAGCCAAAATATTAATGGGAACTAAATTTATTTTTCCTGGTAACATTGTAATTTCAGAATCAAAAGGTTTAACAAATGATATCATTTTATTTGAAGATGACATTTTAATAATACGAGTGATATCACAAGGAAATGTTATTTTAGTGCACACTCTTTAACCTAATGGGACTTCAATATCTATAGTGGATAAACTATAAACTTCTATCTTCCAATTAGCAATTATTTTATGCTGATATTAATCTGAATACAATAGTATGTTGAATATCTTAACACTTTATGGTTCTCCTATTCTTAGATTCAATCTTATTGAATTAAAATCTGATGACCATTCAATCATTACATCAGGATCAGTAATGTGTACATGAGGTTATTATTGTAATGGCTAATTGAATAATCTAGGTATGACAAGTCTAGTTTAACGATTGTCTCTTTCATAAAATCTAAGTACATGATCTATTGGTTATTAATGAGGTTCCACTATTATTCTTAATCCATCCATCATTTTACCATCCTATTATAATAAAATAGTTATATGACGAGATTACATATATTTTTTAATATATTCAGGAGTTCTTTCATGATCATCTACTCTATAATCATATTGTCTAAAACTTATAAATTTAAATAATAAAGTAACTTCCTAATTAGGATCTAAAATGAAATAATATTAAGTTTTTCCTTAATTTTCTTTCATTCTAATTAAATCATAATTTTCAGGTTCTGGATATTTATTATTAGTAACCCAATATTTCCATTCAGCTGGATTACCAATCAAGAAGAATTCTTAATATTCTAACATTCTGCTTTCTGGATCCTCTATATTTACAGTGAATTATTCTGGTTTTGGACGAGTATTTTTAAAATAAAGTGGTACAATTTCACATTTTCCATAAAATGAATGAACTACTTTCTCATTTTATAAGAATCCTTACATTATGGTTCTAACTAATGATGGTTTTTTTATTTCTTTATATTTTAATACTTCATTTAATGATCTTTATTAACTTTATTTATTTTTAATCATTTCTTATAAATTTGATTATTTGATCTTTTTTATTCTGTCTTATATACTATTTCCATCAAAAGCTTATGCAGGAACTTCCATTCTATTCACTGGTTTTTCAGATACTAATTTCTTTTTCTGAAATCCATTTTATGTATTTTCCAAAGGAACTGTTTTACTCATATCTTATTAACCAATCTTGCCAATATTTTTAATAACAATTTACATTGTCCCTTTAACTTTCTTTGATTAAGGATCCTAGATTTCAACATCAGCCATTATTTATGCATTCTGTTTACCTCCTCTCATTATACCTCTCAATGGTATTCTAATACTACCAAATAAAAATAAACTCTCACTATCCCAAATATCTAAAATTAAGTTTTTATTGAATAAATATCTTGCAAAATCCTATTCCAAATTTGCATATCTTTATAAAGATGTTTCAATGTTAAACTTACAACTGAAAACCTCATTATTATATAATAATCTAAGAGGATTACCATTCTCTAGATTATACTTAAAATTTCTTTCATCATTATAATACTCTAAAGTTAAAAATGGTGATTTAAAGGTTTATAAATCATAGAATATAATTCCTATTTAAACTGATTTACAAATAGGATATGGTCCTAAAATTTATTTCATGGACACTGGTTATATAACAATTATTTAATCTTTCCTTTCATCTTACATTTCTAATGCCATCAATCTGTTTTCTTAATCCATTGATATTGGATCATCAACTAAAGCAGTAACATCTGTACGAGTTATTGGTTTTAAAGTGGCTGAAGGTACAGGATATGCATAAGAATCTATGGGTTTTATAACTGTATTTTATGGTTTTGCCTCAGCCAAAACAACTGGAGGAGCAGCAGTTCTATCTACTGCTTTTTAATCTTTAATTAATTTCTCTAGTCCTTCAAATTATCGAGCTTAAGTAAATTACAATAATCTATTTTCTTCTCTTAGTTTTTCAATTGCTTATAAATATTCTTATTATTTTTAAGGATCTGAAGTTTATTAAATTGCCAATCTTCTCAATCGTTCATTTTCCTCTTATAATCTCAATAACTGTTATTCAAAATCCTTCATTTTTACTTATGTACGTATATCTATATCTGATCCTCTAACTTGTTATTCTTATTTATTTTAAATCTATTATTAATGAGGTTAGTTTAAATTTAAATTAGGTTATTATTACAACCCTTATTGCTATTAAGGAAATTATTGTTATTATGTTGAAGCGGCACCCATATATAAATCTTGAATTTAAAATCCTCCTCCTGAAAGATTAAGACTTCCTTTCAATTTAATAGATAATTCAGGATTCTAAAATGATACAAGAGGTCTACCATCTAATGTTTTACCTGGTCCTACAATGAAATCTTCTTCCACAAGTTCATCAGCTCCAAATTTATTATTAATATAGATAGGTATCCATCCAAGTGTCAACTACATAGTCTCTTTAGTTAAATTTGATACTAAGAACATAGCTTCATATTCTAATTAAGCTACAAGCATGCCTGAATTAACAGTTGGATCAGTTGAGCAAACATTATTTATATCAATAACACCATGATATGCTAATTACTTATATTAGATTTATTTCTGATCAACAAATTCATTAACTAACATTCTTGTTTCTCCAAGAGGTACAAAATTATTTGTTCCTCTAGAATTTATAAATGTCCAACCATTATGAAATGCAACAATCAATCTTTTATTTATTATCTAAATATCACCTTTATAATCATCAGCAGTTCTGTATTTATAAGTCCTATATTTCTATACTTATCTATATATATCTGCTTCCATAGTATCTGGTATTAACACTTGAATTTTACTCATGAATACAACCATACTTCTCTATAATTCAAAATCTCCTCCAACAAAACTCTTTTTAAGTCCTGGTAATTCATCTCCCAATCCACATAATGCATTTTCAGGTGATAAATGCATACTTATTTGAAATTCTTCACTCTGCACTAGATCACATGTTACTGAGATTCCTGAAGATTCAAAATTAACTTATTAACCCAATAATAAAATTCTTGGACTTCCCTTTCTAAAATTGAGCTTAGTTGATTATGTAGTAATGGTTAATGCTTATAGTTCACACCAACCCAAATGCATGCGTTTTAATACTAAATCTTATTGTGTTTCATATGATTATATTTCTAGAATTATTAAAAGTGGCATTTCCTTATTATTAAGGATTCTAGTATGATAATAGATCGGTATGATTGGATGTTCATAATTTACTCCATCAGGTCCAAATTCCACATTTAAACGAGGACTATTGTATGTTCTTCCAAAAAAGCACTTTTCTCCTTGTTAGTTTTAAATAAAAAAGTTAGCAGCAACTGAGAATTGTAAATTCAACACAGGATTTTGAGGACGCCTGAGTCCACCAATTCGAGACACAATTAACTTAAAAGCTTTTGAATCTAAGCCCATTTAGATTGGGATTGAAGAGGGTAGACTCTTATGCATCTTTTGAAATTTTAGAAACTTCTTTATTGAGTTTATGTCTTCGGTTGACATTAATATTATTGTTTGAAAATAAAAAATATTATAAGTAAAATTATATTATCAATTACTTATTCATAATTAATATATTCTAAATGTAGATTAAATTGACCTATGATCCATATAAGAATTATAAATGTAATAAGTTATACAATTTATTTATTAATTAAGTTCATCTGTAATACTATATATATCATTATTTTGAATCTTCATTATCCCATATATTATCCCCTTCAAATACTTCTCCTTATTCTTAATTCTCCTCTTCCATAGCTAATCTAACATATTCCTAAAATGCAAATCTATCCCAATCTGTAAAATCTGGATGATCAACTATGTCATTTCTTACTTGAAATGGATCTCTATTTTCATAAGCAATTAATTTATTTAAATTAGTTAAGAAATTGAAAAATACGCCACAAACAGTTAGATTCTATTTAAAATGACTTAATTTAAAGAGGATATCATTGTCAGGATGTAAAAGATCAACCATTTAACAAACAAAATCATGAAATAAAATAGGTTCATGATTTAAATAATCCATTCTCTATTTCAATTCCTCATAAAAATAATCCATTTCAAATCCTGTAATAATACCATTATCATCCAAATCAATAATTTTAAACCAATATTCTATTGATTATATAGTAGTCTTATCTTCTTCACATAAAATAAAGTAAATAAAATCTTCATATGACATCTTTTAATCTATTTAACTTCTAAATCTACGAGGAACTTAATCAAATATTCTATCAACAACTTTACGACTTAGACCATGGCTGGAATAACGAGAGAAGTCTTCCTTGCTTATATGGAAATCATGATCACCATCTAATTCCCAAAATTTACAATAAATAACGTAGAAATGTTCATATGAGAAATATTATCTTATCTAATAAAGGAGCTTAGAAATAATACTTTATTAATATCATCTTCTTTTCCCAATATATCCAAGATATCAAATAAATTACTTGATTTAAAGTCACGCCATGTAATTTTATTGTTATCCTTTCGACATAAATGAAAGAAAATTCTATGAATAACTGTGTCTGCATATCGTTCTTAAAATTCCGGTGTTGCTTACAAAAATTCCAACCCCGGATGCTATTCAAGTAAAACTATTTAGGAAAGAGAATGTACTCTTCATGAAAGGTTTGAAATCATCAAATTAAATGAATTCATTCTTTGCTTTTTTTAGAATATGAAAACATCTCTGTTTTGGTTCTTTTTATGCTAATTGCTAATTCCAATACTTCATAAAAGCAGTTTTACTAATTTTGTTGCTTGTACCTTCTACTGCAGTCATTAAAATTCTTGTTAAGTATTTACATAGACCACATAAATTTGTAGTGATCTATTCAAAATGATTAGCATCAATATGTTCAGCTTTACCAAATATTTCATTAATAATTTTCTAAAGCATTATAAATATATGGACTATACATTCTATTCTTATTGTAATTATAAATTGATCTCTTATGTTGGGAAATAGAATTGGGGAACCAAATCATAATTTTGTACTTCCTCTACACGAAGCTTTTTCTAAATTATTTATGATTAGGTCAATGATTATGATAAATCTTCTGGAATGCGCTATTTAATTTCATGAAATGAGTCTGCACGAGGAGGAGTTGAAGGACCTTAGCTTTTTTTGTTAGGTGAGCTTAAGAGAGCACTTTGTGACATCCCAGACATTGTCATTTTATTTGTGAAAAAAGCATTAGGTTGAGTAATAAGATTATTTTACTTTCCTTCCCGCACATCCTTTATCAGTTGATGTACTAACTTTTATGTTTAAGGTAAAGTTAGCCATTTAATAAAGAGATCATCAACTCTAGTTTTGGCCAATTAATATCTAATATTTTGTGTAAGTGGGAAACCTGCTCCAACTCCTTCAGAATACGATTTCTAAAGCATAAAATAATTAAAATATCTTTTTAATTGGATGTTTGCTATCACAAAGTAGGCATTATTTAGGCAATAAGCAATGAAACTCATGAATCGATTTGCTGTAGTTGCCAATAATAAACCTGAAAAAGGGGCATCATAAGTAATATTTATTATTAATGATAAAAAGGGTCATTTGACAGATAAATATACAGTTATCGATCATACTTATGATGCAGTAGTTGTAGGAGCAGGTGGAGCTGGATTGAGAGCAGCTTTTGGTTTAGTTGAATTAGGTTTTAAGACTGCATGCATATCTAAGCTATTTCCAACTAGATCTCATACTGTTGCAGCCTAAGGAGGTATTAATGCAGCTTTAGGTAATATGACAGAAGATGATTGGAGATGGTATTAAAGATCAAAATTTACATAGGCATGCATATGATACTATTAAAGGATCAGATTGGTTAGGTGATTAAGATGCTATTACATATATGTGTAAAGAAGCACCCAAGGCTGTTTATGAATTGGAAAGTTATGGATTACCATTCTCTCGTACTCCTGAAGGCAAAATATATTAAAGAGCATTTGGAGGTTAAAGTTTGAAGTTTGGAACAGGTGGATAAGCATATAGATGTTGTGCAGTGGCTGATCGTACTGGACATGCTATGTTACATACACTTTTTGGCAGAGCTTTAGGTTATGATTGTATTTTCTTTGTTGAATATTTTGCACTTGATTTAATGATGGATGATTAAGGGTAATTCTATATTTATTATAAATTTATAGAGCTTGCAGAGGAGTTGTATGTATGTCAATGGCAGATGGATCAATCCATAGAATTAGAGCCGGATATACTGTTATTGCAACAGGAGGATATGGAAGAGCATTTTAATCATGTACATCAGCACATACATGCACTGGTGATGGTGGTGGTATGACAATTAGAGCTGGTTTACCTATGGAAGACTTAGAATTTGTATAATTCCATCCTACTGGTATTTATGGATCTGGATGTCTTATGACTGAAGGATGTAGAGGTGAAGGAGGTATTCTGAGAAATTCATTGGGTGAAAGATTTATGGAAAGATATGCTCCTACTGCTAAAGATTTAGCTAGTAGAGATGTTGTTTCTAGAGCTATGACTAAAGAAATTTTAGAAGGAAGAGGGTAATTAT